GTGATAAGGTTGTTCATGATGATGATGACGATGACGGTGTATCTCCAGTAGATCACCCTTCTGCAAGGAGGGCTGAGACATGCAACGGTGATGATGATTATGATGACGATGATGGTGTGGTGATGATGAGATGGTGACGATGGCGGGGATAAATATAGTGTGATGGCGAGTGCGTGCGTCAGTGAGTGAGTGAGTGGGTAAGTGAGTGAGTGATTGGGTGAGTGAAGAGTGCATGAGTGAGTAAGGAAGTGCGGGTGAGGATGCGAGTGAGAAGGAGAGAGGAGAGGGGGTAAAGGGTTCATGCACGGGGTGTCCAGAGAAAACAAGAAACCCACTTAGGATGTGGCGGAGCAACAGCAACAAAAAGAATGCGATAGAGAGAGAGAGAGAAATGCCAAAGGGAAAAGGAAAGAGAGAGAGGAGAGAGGGAGAAAAGAGAGAGAGAGGGAGAGAGATAGACAGACAGACAGACAGACAGACAGACAGACAGACAAACCGACAGACAGACAGAGACAGAAACAGACCGCCAGATGGCAACATCAAGCATGCAAGAGGTCAATCGCGAATTACGGAGATATGAATTGTGTTCGGCTGCGTTAGTCAAAAAAGCGGCACCGCGTGCCAGGTTCGGCTTCGATGTATGATCCCACTCATTTCGTACATTGGATTGCATGCGAGGACGGTCCAACCGACGGCCATGAAGTATTGGAGCGCCAGGCAGCCACAAGCAGTGAAGATGTCATGGCGCCATATTTTCGTTGGAGTAGAGCATGTCTGATGCAACGTGCCTCAGACTCTCCCCGCCTAGATCCTGCTCCCTCTTCGCTGCTCATCATCATCAGCATCATCCGTATTAATCGTGGCTCAATTTGTGGGCGTCTGAGGGCCGCGGCGATCGACGCGTCGCAGCCCAGCCCGCGCCGAGCTCATCGGCGTTTGCCTCGCCCTTCTTGGCTGCGATTTGGGACCCCCGCGGGATCCCTAGACCTCTCCGGTCGCTGACCTTGCGAGCGTTCTTGCGGGTTGATGTCTTGCCTTGTGCTTGTGATGCTTTTGCCGACGACGATTACGTGGTAGACGTGTGGGGAGGGCCGCCCCCTTGCGCGCGCCGCCAACAGATCCCCGAGCGCCGGTTGCACCCGTGTGCCAAGCGTGAGGTGCTGCTTGCTGCATCCGCGAGTCTCGCCTGGGGCGTGGCTGCGAGCGCGTCCCCAGGAGGTTCGCTCATGGGCGTCATCGTGGCCTTCCGTGTGCGCCTCCACTGCTTGCATGCGCGACGGTTGGCCCATAGAGAGACGCTCCCACAAGGGTCGGCAGCGCGTGGGACCTCTGCGTGCACGCTCACTGGTCGACACCTGCGGCGCCGGCCGTACGATTGCCAAGCGGAGCTGCGACCCGGGGTTGCGCCTTTGCTCGTCGCTTCCCCCTTCCCAATCCTGACCTTCCCCCGTCCTCGCTTATCCTCCTGATCCCCATCCATGACGAAGATGCCAATGAGACCTCTGGTTGCCCTAATGCGGGACAAGGTGACGGGCTTCCACAAGCTGTAGGTGACGTCGTTCTTCAAGGCACTCCTGGGCCACGCCGTGATGGTCACGATGATGATGCGTCTGGCGAAGATGGGGCTGTAGTGATGAAAATCAGTGTGGAAGAGAACCGAGGTGAAAAGATAGATCCTGGATTGCATGACCACCGAAGAATATGAGGAGCTCGCCTACGAAAGTGAAACCCCGCTGTTCGATAGGTCAATGCGACGGTGATGATGGATCTGCACAGACTGGCCGAAGGTGAGCATGCTAGAGATGTTGGAGCGCAAACTAACCACAGCGAACTGAACGATACCGCAAGATGGTCTCAATGGCCTTCCCTATGTACCTCCTTTGGACGGCCCTGGCGCTGATGTGGGCGTGGCTCCCGGCAGTGGCCGTGCGTCCGGCCCCGATGAGGGTTCACGGCCTGGTGGCACCTGTGGTGATAACATCTTGCGATCGGCCGACCCCACGCGCGATTCCCAAGCTGCGCAAGTGTTGCTACAGTGTGCCAGCGGGTGGGCGCTTGGTTGGCTGGCTCCCCATGGGGTTCTTGCCGACCACCCTGGGAGGGACGTGTGGGACTGGAGGGAATGGTGCACGCAGCATCTCGACGGTGCTCTTCGGCACGATGTTTTCGAGGGCTTGGCCAACATTGTTCCGAGCATGCGCGACCTACCAAGAGGAAAGCTTGCGAGGGACTTGTGCGATGAAGCTTGGCACCTGTCTGTGGAGGGGCACGAACACCTTCGGCAGCAGCTGAGACGAGCCTGGCCTGGAAAGGAAGACGAGAGACGGCAGATCGCGTTCCCACTTGCGCGTGGGTACTTGTGGATTCCTCGTCGGCTAGCTGATCGAAGTCGGACGGCACTAGAGATGCGACAAACGTTTCTCATTACCTGTGTTTCCCGTCCTCGTGGCCCTCCCCTGCCAGTCATGATGTTCCTCATGTGGCAGGGTATGGAGATGAATATTCTGAGGCATCCGACTATAGTGTTCGCAGGCCGACTGCACGAGGCATGTTTCTTCCCGTCGCCCACAGAGGTCGGCATCGACGGAATGGAAAACGAAGCCTATCCAACCGCATTGGGGGCATATTCTAGCCATCTGGCTGGCACACATCGGCTCCTGAGCGACATTCATTGCTGGGGTTGGGAGGACGATCTGGGGCTGGGCGACCTCGCCGATTTGATCGATTGGAATGTGACGGGGAAGGCGCAGTGGAGCGCAGCCAGCGACATAGACCCTCTCCAGACCAGGTTGGAGTTGGAACCAACCACCCCCACCCCCTCAGCGCAACTTCTGGAGAGGCAACCCCTGGCGTGATGATTCCGCTCCACGACTCGCCTTCAATATTTGATTTGTCTGTTCGCGACGATGCCAGGGTGAGCGGGATGAGCAAGGCGCTGGGCGGGATAGTACAGTCAGTGCGTCAGTCGACACCAGCCCGGTGTAGCGTGCGCCCCCTTTCCACGCTTCCTCGCGCGCCACCAGACGGCGACGGGCACGGCGTTTGCTCGGCGGCTTCGCCCCCAAGGGGATGATCGGCAAACCGCCGGCGGGCATTCATGTTCTTGGCGGCGACGGGGCGTGGCGGGCCCCCAATCACCCCGCAAGTTTTGCTGAGCAATGGTTCTTAATAACAAAGCCCGAAGGACGACGGATCCTTTATGGTTGGAATGACTGGTGCGTCCCCATACATGGCGATGTTGCTTGACATGCCGCATTCTCATCAAGCCAGTGTCAACAATGATGCATCTTCCAATTCGTTCAGCTGGCACCATCTGGCTCAGAGCACAGGACATTCGCGCGGCTGTTTGGACGCGGACTGCCAGGCAACGCAGTTGATTCATGGGGGCGTTACCAAATCTTCGCCCCGCGGACTGGCAGAGGGCAGCTGATTTGCACGCGTTGGCTTTCCGTGACAGGAGGCAGCACGTGGAGGCCAGAAGCATGCCTAACCCGACGAGGTTGCCTCCACCCGTTTCGCGACTCCGTGGTCTTCGAGGCGCGCCACGCTAAGTTCCGAAACCTCTGGCGCGAGCCCCAGTCGCGCCCCATGATCCCAAAGGGCAAAGCCCGACACCTGGCCCGCCGAACTCAGAACCTACAAAGTTCGACGACGGCAGCCTCCTGGCCGCCAATATCTTTCGCGCCGATCTTCGCGCCAGGGCATCTACTGCCAACCGCTGCTTGGAAAGGATCGAGAATGATGCTGTCATGTTTCTCCCTGGGCTGCATTCCGATTTTCTTCGCGATACATTGGAAGGTGGTATTGATGTATATGTTGTTGCCTTGGTCTACGGGTGCGCGATTGGAGATGATTCCCAGCTGATTCCCACGATGGCCCCGAACGTCGAGGATCCGGATTGCGATGATTGCGCGCAGCTCCAAGGTGCCACCCAACACATTGCGGAACAACGGGCCGCGTATTTGTTTCTACCAGGACGGGCGCGCCGAGTATTTCAGATGTTGGATGGCAGGGTGCGCGCCGCGGTCAAACAATTGACGCGGCCCGAATTCAACCGTCCGATCAAGAACGCCCGGAGGCGACCTGCACGCGGACAGTCGCAACACATCGGCAGAAGATCTCTGCGCCCAGGCTTGGCCGACCACCAAGAACATCAGGCTTGGCAGAGGCTCGCGCTGAACGAGGACATCAACAACCAAGAAGACGCTGTGAGAGTACGAGAACTTGACAGACGCCGCGTCCTCTTTGGGAGGCTTCGTGGTTGAAGACCACACCTATTCATGATACCGCCGAAGCTGCACCCCACTCCTGATGATGTAGTGGTTCAGCAAGACCACGCTGCTGACGATGCCCACGACTCCCCAGCGAGGAAGCGGCTCCTTAACAAGCGCCCGAACATCATGAGAGCGATATGCTTGTGCATGCGGATGGCGAGGCGACGGGGCATTATGACGAGGATCCATCCATGTTCGATGGATCGCCTGGTGGGTCTGTCCCGTCCTTCCCTGGGGGTGTGCGGGAGATTCAGACTCCGCGCCCCCCACAACTTGTTCTTCGGCACGGTCCCCACACTGCTACAGCTCGCGCATCTACCTTTTACGAGTTGCCTCGTCACCTTGCGACCTTGAAAACCTCTGAGTGTTGACAACATGTCACACATGTCGTGCAACCTGACGGATCTCGTTTACACCAAGGGCATGGACAACCATGCCGTCCCTGCCCCGTCGGCGACGAGTTCGGATTTCTGAGGGTCGGCCTTCCAGGGGCCGCGGGCGGCGCTCCGAGCGCGGCCGAAACGGAGATCGATTGCCTCTTCTCTAGGGCGCGGGATCCTCCTCATTCTCCTCCCTGACCCACCCCCACCTGAATATTTACCCGGATCGCCGCGGTCGTCGTCATCGCATCGCGACAATATCATTTAACATATCCTCTTCCGCCTCTTTGTTCCTGCACCCATCGGGAACAGGGCAGTGCAGCGGCGACCTCTCGAACCCCCGAAGGTGAAGGTCTGGCAGCCAGCGCCTGGCGCCGGCGTTACTGGGCCCCGAGATTTGGTCACCGTGTACAACCACAGGACTTCGATTGCACGGCGGAGGGACGATGATGACGACGACGACGACGACGACGACGACGACGACGACGACGACGACGACGACGACGGAGAGTCGAAGTTCGAGATTCGAGGTTTTCTACATTATTTAATCGCTTCGCTCATTCCGCCGGCCCGTATTGTGCCCTCGCTGGCGTTTGGCCTTTTGGGGTCCTCGTTCGGGGTTTCTTGGGGGCCTCTTGGGTTTCTGTTGGAGCCTCTTTGGGGTTTCTTGGAGCTCCTTTTGGGGGCATTTGGGAGCATCTTGGGGCTTCTGGGCGCCGCTTGGGGCCGAGGGCTCGATATGTCCGTTCCGGTTCCCACTCTGGGCCTCCTCTTTGGGCTGTCCAGGTGCCATCTTGGGCCGTGTCGGAGGCCTCTTGGGCCGTCTTGGAGGCCTCTTAGGCTGCCTTGGGGCGATATTGGAGGCTTCAGGCTTCTTGGGGCTCCACCCGTCGAGGAGTGGAGGAGGGGATCAGGAGGAGGAGGAGGAGGAGGAGGAGGAGGAGGAGTGCCTGAGGAGGGTAGACGGAGCGTTTTGCAGAAGTTTCCCAGAACTTCTTTGCGCTCGCTGCACATATTGTAGCATCGCTTGCACTTGCTAGCGTGGTCGGGGGGGCATTGGGGGGGCCTCCTGGAGCCGCTTGAGAGCTTATTGGGGGCCTCGTGAGGGCCTTTTGGAGGCCTCCTGAGGCTTCTTAGGGGCCTCTTGGCGCCTCGTGGGGGCTTCTTAGGGCCGAGGGCTCGAAATGTTGTTTCGTGTTCCCTCTCTGGGGCTTCTCTTAGAGCGTTCTTGGGGCCCTCTTGGGCCGTCTTGGAGGCCTCTTGGGCAGTCTTGGAACCCTCTTGGGCCGTCTTGGGGCCCTGTCGGAGGCCTCTCGGGCCTCTTAGGGCGATCTTGGGAGCCTATTGGGCCGTCTTGGGGCGTCGCGATGCCGAAAACGTGGAAACGCCACAATCCCCCTAAAACCTAAAGAAAAGCAATGAATGTTGCCTCTTGGGGCCCTCTTGGGAGTGCTCTTGGAAGCCTCGTGGGGCGTCTGGGGGCTATCTTGAGCGTCTTGGAGCGATCTCGTGGCATCTCGGACCCTTGGTGTTACCATCCTGGGGGCCTCGTGGGCGCTCTTGGCTCTTCTTGGGACCCTCTCTTGGCCCTTCTTGGGACTCTCGGGGACGTCTCGGGGCCCTGTTGGCGCGCTCCTGGAGCGCTCTGGGGGCTTCTCCCGGGACCTTGCCGGGGTACTTTTTCGTCCGGGGACCCCCAGGGACCGCCCCGCGCGCGCGAACTAGAAATACTGTGAACCAGTTACCGGAGATTTTAGCACGCCTCTGGCCCGTTGGGCCGGCGAATTCCCCTTGTTGGTTCTCTGGGAGGCTTCTCGTGGCCACGGCTGGATCCGCTTCGAAGTTTTTGCGAGAACGCACCCCTGGACCTTGAAGGGAGGAGGAGGGGGAGAAGCAGGAGCAGCAGCACCAGAAAACGCAGAAGCAATTGCAGGAGTAGCGAGGAAGAGGGAGGCGGAACGGAGGAGGACGTTGAGTCAACGCGCACAAGGCCGTTATAGCTACGGATGTGGCGGGAGGTAATCAAGCATGTTTACTGGGAGAGGTCTATGACGGAACGTTTTGTGCAGAACTATGTGGCCGTGTCCACCGCCTACAGAATGAGGCTGTGGTGGACGAACGTGCAGACGATGCTGTCGTCGTACAAGCGGCGCCGCGATGGTCATGTCCGTGGACTACCAAGTCGAGTTGGAGGACGTGTCCATTGATACGTACGGCGTGGATTGGAGAGTCAAGTTGCGATCGGTTGGAACGCACGGGAGGTGGAGGAATTTGTATTGCGAATTCTAACAAAACGTGTGCTGACGATGGCGAATATATCGGCCAGCGGTGTATGCTACCAGAGAGCTGAGCACCGGCCAGAGAAACACCCAAAAAGGGTCAGTTACAGCTTGAGCGAGCTTCCGACTATCCACGGCGATGGTGACGTTATTGTAGAGTGGGAGGAGCTAGGGAATCGTTTATGCTTCACCACTGGCTGCGATCCACCAGCCAACATCATCGTTAACGACACATCACTGCTCAAAGATAATAGTTTCGCGTTCCACCAGGGTGGTCAACAAGCTGGTCGGCCTGGTTGGTCGAGCAAGTAGGGGAACTAGGACGATTGGAGGACAGCCCAGTCGAATGGAAACGGTGCGTGTTTAAAAAGGGTCGCAGGCCACCTCGTGAATTTCACGGTGGATGAACGGAAGTCTTGGTGATAGAGATTTCAACCACCAGGCGAGAGTTTTATTGTATAAGAAACGAACGTCTTGGCACATTGCGACGAAGGCACACGGCAAGCATCGCGCGCAGCGGCGGCATGGCACGTCGACATGCACATTCGCGCGCTTGTGGGGTGGAGCTCAACTTCATTGCGCATGTCTGGCCAGCCCATTGATAGGCCCACCTATCTGTTCTCGGCCGAGGTGACAGTCTCAACGGAGGCTGAAGATCTCACCTTTAGTATTCGCGCCCAGCCGGCCAGCACCACTGTGCTCTGAGCTTGGGGACAGAAAGAACGCAGGATTTTGAAATGCATCTGCCGTGCCCCTGCCGTCGCTGCTTGCTGCTGCCGCTCTGGATGAATACCCGAACTCCCGAGCACACGGGCGACACCCGAGGGGTGGCGGCCGTGCTCGACATGGTTGCGGGTCGACCGGCCACCAAGAGGCGTCCCGCGAGGAATGCCTCGAGGCTCGGGTCGAACTCAACGGGGGCGATTGGGAAAGGCTGCTTAAGAAATTCTAGACGCTTCGCGTATCCACACCAGCATCGTCGGACCGACACGATCCTCGACTGGGGATGTGCGTCGCGCCATTTTGGCAGCGACCTCCCTGCTTCCTGGGTGGCCGTTTCCCTTCAGACTCCCTGGGCAGCAGCTTGCACCGCCGCCTGACCCGCGGCCCCCGCGCGCGCCCGGCTAATTTGTCACGGCCGCAGCCCGACCGTGTCCCGCCGCCGCCGGCGCTTCCGCCTGCGGCTTGTTTGTTGTTTTTGTTATATTATTTTGTTTTAAAAAATAAAATAAAAAACAAAAAAAGATAAAAAAGGTGCGTTTTCTGAAGCTGCGACGGTTCGCTGGCGCTGTCAGAAATCCCCCTCCTTGCTGGACGACGTCAGCTACGCTTTCGGTCTGCTCATACCCGACAGACACCCTGGGCTGACATTTCTTGCACGGAGACTGGTTCCCACCACCATGCGATTGTCGGTTTGTCACGACCCATGACTGGGAATGTGCGGCGCGCCATTTTGGCCGCGTCCGCTTTGCTTCCTGGGCGACTGACCCTTCAGACTCCCTGGGTTGCAGCTTGCACGACCGCCTGGCCTCTCAGACGCCCTGGGTTGCTGCTTGCACCGCCGCCTGATCCGCGGCCCCCACGCGCGCCCGGGTAATTCGTCACGGCCGCAACCCGACCGTGACCCCTCGCCGCCGGCGCTTCCGCCTGCGGCTGTAAAAAGAAAAAATCCACACCAGCCCATCCAGAAACGATGCCCAGGCGAGTTGAGAGGTGATCAGGGAAGTGCGGGAGCAAAGAGGGGGACGGCCGAACCATGTGAAGGAGAGAGGGGGCGAAGAAGAAAATTGGATGGATGGATGAGGGAGTCGGGAGTAGGAGGATGAATAGGATGAGGAGGAGGAGGGGGAGGAGGAGGAGGAGGAGGAGGAGGCGGAGGGGGAGGACGAGGATGAGAAGGGATAGGAGGAGGAAGGAGGAGAAGGAGAGCAAGCAAAAGGGCCAGAGGCCTCTTGGATGCTTCTCAGAGCCTCTTGGGGTATCTCTTGGGCGTCTTGGGACGTCTTGGGGGTCTCTTGGCGGCCGTGGGGGGCTCTTCGGCGTCTTGGGTGCCTCGGGGGAGCCTCTTGGGCCCGCTTGGGATCTTTTGGGGGGCCTCCTGGGGGCCTCCTGGGGGCCTCTTGGGGCCATCTTGGGGCCATCTTGGGACCTGTTGAGGCCTCCTGGGCGCTTCTTGGGGCCATCTTGGAGGAGATCGATCAAACAAGACGGGAGCTTTCATTAGCGTCCCCCCCCCAAGAGGCCAAAATGGGGCCAAAACCCTAGTAAGACCAATGATGTTGGCTTCCTCGCCGAGGCCGTTTTGGACGCCCCGACACCTCGCGAAACCATTTGTCCAGGTCCAGGGGAGGGGGTAGGGGGAGGGGTAAACCCTTCCCCGAAGGGGAAGAAGGAGGGGTGGAAGAGGAAACTCCCTAAACCACCGACGCCCAGAGGGCTGGTGGGATTTGGTTTGGGTCCCGCCGCCGGGCTCCTTCCTCGATACATTGGCGCCTCTGGCGCCAGGAGGCGCTGGGGAACTCAGCTACGAGAGCTGACAAGCCAACCTCCATTTTGGTCCGACCCGACAGTGGAGGGCGTGCAGTGTGAAGTTCATGTGTTTGTATGGAAAATGTGTCTACTGCACGACGTCGTATGGAAAATGTGTCTATTGCACGACGTCCAACGGAGTTGGCGGCAGGGCGAAGGCGGAGTAGTAGTGCCATGATGACTTCGATGTCGGAGGTGTCGTCGTCGTCGGAGACAAAATAAAAACACATTGCACGACGTCCACGGAGTGGGCGGCAGGGCGAAGGCGGCCACGGCGTTCTCGACCAGCCCGCCGGGATCGGCGCGCGCGCGCGCCCTCGCCATCGAGCCGGCGGAGCTGCCGCAGGCTGCGCCCATGCTTGTCGGCCGCGGGGCGCGGGGCCGCCTCGGCCGTGAAGAGCGGCGCGCCCAGCACGACCGCGGACGTCACGCCGCGCCGTGAGGTCGCGGGTCGGGCGGAACTCACCCGAAAAGAAAGAGCCACCACCACCACCACCAGCTAGCCGAGCTGGTGGCACTCCGCTCCGAGCGCACTCCCAGACAGCACCCGGAGCGGAGTGCCACCAGCTTGGGAGAGCGGCTTTTGGGAGCGGAGTTCTGTGGAGTCCTGGTGGTGGTGGCG